GGGGGACACGCCCTATGCGCTGGAAATGAGTAACGAGCCACTTCTTTGATACATGTGCTTTCCAAATTACCGGAAATGTATCTGTTTTGATTTTGTATTTTTGTTTTTGTTCTAATGTTTTCATTAAATTACCACATGAGCACTGGAGAAGCAACTTCACGCCTTCCCCTCTTTTGTAGCTTCCTGGAATCAGAATAACGCCCTCTAAGAAGGACCGGAAATGCTTGCCTACGACATTTTTTGTTTTTCGTGAGCTGAGGCGGGGTGGCAGCACTTCCCCGCCTCGACCTCGCGCTTCTCCTCGTGCCAAGTTCTCGCCTCTCACCTCGATGTCCCGGAGTATGTCGTCGTACAGCAGCTTCCTGGCGTCCCTGGCGTACGTGAAGTCCATGTGGTTGAACGAGTCGTGAAAGATTCGCTTGTACTTCTTCACGTTTGGGAGCCTGTCTCGCAGTGTCTTCACGTCCTGCAAGTCAACTCCGTGGGTTGGATTGGTTGAAGGTACGTTCGCCACCGACACGGAACAGGTATGGGCGGCTTGGCCTTACCTCAGTCGAGGTGAATACGTCGTTTTCCGTGTAGTACACATACACGGGTAAGCTGACGTTATCTAGCGGGTACTCTGGCGGTTGGTCCTGACCGTATTTTTCCTTGTTTTTCCTCGATCCGTGGTCGAACTGCTGAAACTTGCCGCCTGCGAAACGAACGTACCGTGACTCTCCGGTGGGACTGGTAAAACTGACTCGGCCGAGGTCACGCTGAAGAACACTGACTATAAAACACCTGGGAGTAGTGGGAGAGCTCCCTGAAGGCGCAGCCGGCCGGCATGGTCTTTAGGATGGTCAGGATTTGTTCCTGTAAAAGACGCCGCTCAGCAAATAGACGGTCTAGTGGTGTTTGCAGTGTTTGAGCCTTGTCTTGTCTTACGGCGAATTCTACCGTAAGGTACAGTAAACTCCGCAGCACCGTAGCTGGCGGCAAATTTTCACCAAAACAAGCTACAGCTAATAATTTTCAGGGTGAATCAGGGTGATTTCCGACCTTGTCGACTTGCTGCCCGTTGAAGCCTATGGCGCGGAACACGACGTTGGTGCAGACCCAGCGTCCGACCAGTTTCTTGTTGCACATGTGGTCGGTGACGAACCTGATCAGGGGCGGGTGGGGCTTGATGTCGTACTGGCCCAGAATGTTGGCGCCTAGCTGCGGCAGGGGCAGGGGAGGAGACTGCCGTTAAGCGACGTCGGAATAACGGTGATCGCCCAACCCTGGCTGGCCGTCCCGAACTCACTTCCATGAGGGGCTCCATCGCAATCATAAAGCGCATTAGGATCGTGTTCACGTTGTTGAAGAACGCCACGGGGGCGAGGGCTATGAACATCGACACCTGCAAAAGTGATGGTGTGAGCTATTTCAAGTGTCCCGTGCTCGGTCCCGCGGCTCCGTCTCGAACGGCTCAGCGGGCTGACCTTCCCGTTGTACTCGGGCCGCAGGGATGCGGCCGCCAAGAGGGCCGTGGTGCCCTCGGAGTGGCCGACGAACACCAGCGACTCTCGCCGGGTGTTGTTCAGGATGTAGTCGATCATAGCGGTCACGTCGTAGAAGCCGATCTCATGCCATCTACCCTGCGTGTACATGGTGTCATACCGCACAAAAAATAGAAGCGTTTCCTGCCGTAGAACTCCCGTTTTCAGGGGAAAAAATGCTGATTTGTTTTAGCAGAACGAGTTGCTACTGTGCACCCCCCCCCCCCCCCCCACAAACACACACAGAAACACATTGTTCGAGTCCCAGTAGCCCTTTCTTACTTACGAATATTCCCAGAATGCCTTGTCACTGGTGGTCATCCTTTTGTGCTTCCGTGAGTACCTGTTGCCTCGGAAGTTGCCTAACCACACGTCGTACCCCGCGTCGTGGAGAAGGAAAGCTGATCACGGCAACAACGAAATGTCACAGTAAGACAAGCGGAAGAGCACAATCTGTAAATTTATTAGAAATAAAACAGAAATGTTTCGAGTCCCCGCGCCGGGACGTTGATCACAATCTGTAAATTTAATTTGATTTGAAACAAAAATGCAAGTTTGAGACCACCATCGTTTCCATTTTCAGAAATTGCAACTTCTACAAAAATGTTGATGTGCGGTACTGTGCAAAATTTTAACTTTTAAACGGTTCTACTTATTTTGATTGCAGTGCGGCGCTCACCCAGTGCCCGGTTGCGCCCGCTGATCACAAACTCGGTGGACGAGCACATGAGGCCGTGCTGCAGGTACACCGCCGGCCGGTCGGCGTGGGGAATGCGGAATATTGTGATGACGTAGTCGTCCTCGGTCACGACGGTGTGCTCCTCCACGGGGTACTTGTTACTCTTGATGATGTTGGGCTGCGGTGCGGTGCTAAAGTTAGGGATGAGCACGCAGACGACTAACCAACCGTAGGACTGGCATATATAGCGCCGTTGACGCGTACGGTGGACAGCGCGTCCGGCATGACCCGGAGCCCGGGCGGGGAGGTCGCGTTGAGCGGCGCCACCCTCCCGGCTTCTCTCCGCGGGCTCCCCGTCGTCGTGAGAAGCTCGAGCGCGGCGCGACTACGTGGCGGCTGTGTTGTGGCTATGACGAAGAAAAACAAAACGCGACGCACCGGCGAGTAAAGCTACATTGTACTTTGCGGCGGCGGCGTCTCCCTTTGTATTTCGTTGCAAAAGTAACACCTGGTGAACTGGAACCCAAGTCCGGTAGCACCAGGATCAGGGCTGCGACGGTCGCGATGGCCATGGTGGCCCACCGTGTGAGCAACGCCCGACTGTGGACCGCGCGACTACTGCTGCTTGCCTCGCAGGTGCACAGCGGTGTGCGATAGCCGCCCCCCCTCCTCATTTTCCCCTCTGGCGAATTTCTTCCCTCCCCTCCTCCCACTGCTACTCCCGCCTTCGAGCAACGAAGGCTTTCCATTATGGGGCGAGGCTGCAAACCTAGCCCGCCGCAAACAAATTAGAAAAACTCGTGATACCGCCTGGCAGTTATGCAATGCTGGGCAGGGTGGGTGGCCTACCCTACTCACCGCAGGGGTCTCGGCGCGAACGTCCCAATGTGGCCACATTGAAAGTCCCTGTTTGTAACTACACGATTGTAGCTACAGCCGACAGTGCCCGAGTCAGCTCAAACCGAACCGTCTATAGACGAATTCATTACTTCCGCCAATGCTAGAATAACAACCAGAAGTAAACTGCGCTAAGAACTAAAGCGAAAACGAAAAATACCAATGCCTTTTGCCTTGCCCAACCGCTCGGAGGGACAGGGGGCCGCGGGGGCCCGATTCAGGAAAGCATTGCCTACCCTCTAGGCGTTTTCAGCGAGACACGGCGCCACTTCTTAGCTTTAGAAAGGATTTATGAGCCTGGGGCCAAAAGGAGCCTAAACCCAAAGTCCT